ATACAAGTCATAAGTAGGCCCAAGTCTGCATGACTTCTGAGATCTGACGAGATCAGGCATTTTCAGACTGGTATGGCCGTAGGCAAAATTAGCAGAAAGTGATCTCGCTGATGTTGGTATAATATCAAACAGTGGTTGCGACAAAAGACAAGACGCTTCTGACAAGGGAAAAAAGTGATCTGATTTTGACATCATAATCTAAAAAAGAAATAAACAAAAGCTTACGGCACCTGAGGTTCCTAGTTGGTCTCCCATACAAGTACTAATCAGGCCCAAGTCTGCATGACTTCTGAGATCTGACGAGATCAGGCACTTTCAGACTGGTATGATCGTAGTCAAAATTAGCAGAAAGTGATCTCGTTGATGTTGGTATAATATCAAACACTGGTTGCGACAAAATACAAGACGCTTCTGACTAGGGAAAAAAGTGATCTGATTATGACATCATAATCTAAAAAAGAAATAAACAAAAGCTTACGGCACCTGAGGTTCCTAGTTGGTCTCCCATACAAGTACTAATCATGCCCAAGTCTGCATGACTTCTGAGATCTGACGAGATCAGGCACTTTCAGACTGGTATGGCCATAGGCGAAATTAGTAGAAAGTGATCTCGCTGATGTTGGTATAATATCAAACACTGGTTGCGACAAAAGACAAGACGATTCTGACTAGGGAAAAAAGTGATCTGATTATGACATCATAATTTAAAAAAGAAATAAACAAAAGCTTACGGCACCTGAGGTTCCTAGTTGGTCTCCCATACAAGTACTAAGCAGGCCCAAGTCTGCATGACTTCTGAGATCTGACGAGATCGGGCACTTTCAGACTGGTATGGCCGTAGGCGAAATTCGTAGAAAGTGATCTCGCTGATGTTGGTATAATATCAAACACTGGTTGCGACAAAAGACAAGACGCTTCTGACTAGGGAAAAAAGTGATCTGATTATGACATCATAATCTAAAAAAGAAATAAACAAAAGCTTACGGCACCTGAGGTTCCTAGTTGGTCTCCCATACAAGTACTAATCAGGCCCAAGTCTGCATGACTTCTGAGATCTGACGATATCAGGCACTTTCAGACTGGTATGGCCGTAGGCGAAATTAGCAGAAAGTGATCTCGCTGAAGTTGGTATAATATCAAACACTGGTTGCGACAAAAGACAAGACGCTTCTGACTAGGGAAAAAAGTGATCTGATTATGACATCATAATCTAAAAAAAGAAATAAACAAAAGCTTACGGCACCTGAGGTTCCTAGTTGGTCTCCCATACAAGTACTAAGCAGGCCCAAGTCTGCATGACTTCTGAGATCTGAGAGATCAGGCACTTTCAGACTGGTATGGCCATAGGCGAAATTAATAGAAAGTGATCTCGCGGATGTTGGTATAATATCAAACACTGGTTGCGACAAAAGACAAGACGCTTCTGACTAGGGAAAAAAGTGATCTGATTATGACATCATAATCTAAAAAAGAAATAAACAAAAGCTTACGGTACCTGAGGTTCCTAGTTGGTCTCCCATACAAGTACTAAGCAGGCCCAAGTCTGCATGACTTCTGAGATCTGACGAGATCAGGCACTTTCAGACTGGTATGGCCATAGGCAAAATTAGTAGAAAGTGATCTCGCTGATGTTGGTATGATATCAAACACTGGTTGCGACAAAAGACAAGACGCTTCTGACAAGGGAAAAAGTGATCTGATTATGACATCATAATCTAAAAAAGAAATAAACAAAAGCTTACAGCACCTGAGGTCCCTAGTTGGTCTCCCATACAAGTACTAATCAGGCCCAAGTCTGCATAACTTCTGAGATCTGACGAGATCAGGCACTTTCAGACTGGTATGGCCGTATGTGAAATTAGCAGAAAGTTATCTCGCTGATGTTTGTATAATATCAAACACTGGTTGCGACAAAAGACAAGACGCTTCTGACAAGGGAAAAAAGTGATCTGATTATGACATCATAATCTAAAAAAGAAATAAACAAAAGCTTATGGCACCTGAGGTTCCTAGTTGGTCTCCCATACAGGTACTAATCAGGCCCAAGTCTGCATAACTTCTGAGATCTGGCACGTTCAGACTGGTATGGCCGTAGGCGAAATTAGCAGAAAGTCATCTCGCTGAAGTTGGTATAATATCAAACACTGGTTGCGACAAAAGACAAGACGCTTCTGACAAGGGAAAAAAGTGATATGATTATGACATCATAATCTAAAAAAGAAATAAACAAAAGCTTACGGCACCTGAGGTTCCTAGTTGGTCTCCCATACAGGTACTAATCAGGCCCAAGTCTGCATAACTTCTGAGATCTGGCGAGATCAGGCACTTTCAGACTGGTATGGCCATAGGCGAAATTAGCAGAAAGTGATCTCGCTGATGTTTGTATAATATCAAACACTGGTTGCGACAAAAGACAAGACGCTTCTGACTAGGGAAAAAAGTGATCTGATTATGACATCATAATCTAAAAAATAAATAAACAAAAGCTTACGGCACCTGAGGTTCCTAGTTGGTCTCCCATACAATTACTAAGCAAGCCCAAGTCTGCATGACTTCTGAGATCTGACGAAATCAGGCACTTTCAAACTGGTATGGCCATAAACGAAATTTGCCAAAAGTGATATCGCTGATGTTGGTATAATATCAAACACTGGTTGCAACAAAAGACAAGACGCTTCTGACTAGGGAAAAAGTGATCTGATTATGACATCATAATCTAAAAAAGAAATAAACAAAAGCTTACAGCACTTGAGGTTCCTAGTTGGTCTCCCATACAAGTACTAAACAGGCCCAAGTCTGCATGACTTCTGAAATCTGACAAGATCAGGCACTTTCAGACTGGTATGGCCGTAGGCGAAATTAGCAGAAAGTGATCTCGCTGATGTTGGTATAATATCAAACACTGGTTGCGACAAAAGACAAGACGCTTCTGACTAGGGAAAAAAGTGATCTGATTATGACATCATAATCTAAAAAAGAAATAAACAAAAGCTTACGGAACCTGAGGTTCCTAGTTGGTCCCCAATACAAGTACTAAGCAAGCCCAAGTCTGCATGACTTCTGAGATCTGACGAGATCAGGCACTTTCAGACTGGTATGGCCATAGACGAAATTAGCTGAAAGTGTTCTCGCTGATGTTGGTATAATATCGAACACTGGTTGCGACAAAAGACAAGATGCTTCTGACTAGGGAAAAAAGTGATCTAATTATGACATCATAATCTAAAAAAGAAATAAACAAAAGCTTACGGCACCTGAGGTTCCTAGTTGGTCTCCCATACAAGTACTAATCAGGCCCAAATCTGCATGACTTCGGAGATCTGACGAGATCAGGCACTTTCAGACTGGTATGGCCGTAGGCAAAATTAGCAAAAAGTGATATCGCTGATGTTGGTATAATATCAAACACTGGTTGCGACAAAAGACAAGACGCTTCTGACTAGGGAAAAAGTGATCTGATTATGACATCATAATCTAAAAAAGAAATAAACAAAAGCTTACGGCACCTGAGGTTCCTAGTTGGTCTCCCATACAAGTACTAAGCAGGCCCAAGTCTGCATGACTTCTGAGATCTGGCACTTTCAGACTGGTATGGCCATAGGCAAAATTAGTAGAAAGTGATCTCGCTGATGTTGGTATAATATCAACCACTGGTTGCGACAAAAGACAAGACGCTTCTGACTAGGGAAAAAAGTGTTCTGATTATGACATCATAATCTAAAAAAGAAATAATCAAAAGCTTACACCACCTCAGGTTCCTAGCTGGTCTCCCATACAAGTACTAAGCAGACCCAAGTCTGCACGACTTCTGAGATCTGACAAGATCAGGCACTTTCAGGCTGGTATGGCCATAGGCGAAATTAGTAGAAAGTGATCTCGCTGATGTTGGTATAATATCAAACACTGGTTGCGACAAAAGACAAGACGCTTCTGACTAGGGAAAAAAGTGAATTGATTATGACATCATAATCTAAGAAATAAATAAACAAAATCTTACGGCACCTGAGGTTCCTAGTTGGTCTCCCATACAAGTACTAAACAGGTCTAAGTCTGCATGACTTCTGAGATCTGACGAGATCAGGCACTTTCAGACAGGTATGGCCGTAGGCGAAATTAGCAGAAAGTGATCTCGCTGATGTTGGTATAATATCAAACACTGGATGCGACAAAAGACAAGACGCTTCTGACTATTGAAAAAAGTGATCTGATTATGACATCATAATATAAAAAAGAAATAAACAAAATCTTACGGCACCTGAGGTTCCCAGTTGGTCTCCCATACAAGTACTAATCAAGCCCAAGTCTGCACAACTTCTGAGATCTGACGAGATCAGGCACTTTCAGACTGGTATGGCCGTAGGCGAAATTAGCAGAAAGTGATCTCGCTGATGTTGGTATAATATCAAACACTGGTTGCGACAAAAGACAAGACGCTTCTGACTAGGGAAAAAAGTGATCTGATTATGACATCATAATCTAAAAGAGAAATAAACAAAAGCTTACGGCACCTGAGGTTCCTAGTTGGTCTCCCATACAAGTACTAAGCAGGCCCAAGTCTGCATGACTTCTGAGATCTGACGAGATCGGGCACTTTCAGACTGGTATGGCCGTAGGCGAAGTTAGCAGAAAGTGATCTCGCTGATGTTGGTATAATATCAAACACTGGTTGCGACAAAAGACAAGACACTTCTGACTAGGGAAAAAAGTGATCTGATTATGACATCATAATCTAAAAAAGAAATAAACAAAAGCTTACGCACCTGAGGTTCCTAGTTGGTCTCCCATACAAGTACTAAGCGGGCCCAAGTATGCATGACTTCTGATATCTGACGAGATCAGGCACTTTCAGACTGGTATGACCGTAGGCGAAATTTGCAAAAAGTGATATCGCTGATGCTTGTATAATATCAAACACTGGTTGCGACAAAAGACAAGACGCTTCTGACTAGGGAAAAAGTGATCTGATTATGACATCATAATCTAAAAAATAAATAAACAAAAGCTTACGGCACCTGAGGTTCCTAGTTGGTCTCCCATACAAGTACTAATCAGGCCCAAGTCTGCATGACTTCAGAAATCTGACACTTTCAGACTGGTATGGCCATAGGCGAAATTAGTAAAAAAGTGAACTCGCTGATGTTGTTATAATATCAAACACTGGTTGCGACAAAACACAAGACGCTTCTGACTAGGGAAAAAAGTGATCTGATTATGACATCATAATCTAAAAAAGAAATAAACAAAAGCTTACGGCACCTGAGGTTCCTAGTTGGTCTCCCATACAAGTACTAATCAGGCCCAAATCTGCATGACTTCTGAGATCTGACGAGATGAGGCACTTTCAGACTGGTATGGCCATAGGCAAAATTAGCAGAAAGTGTTCTCGCTGATGTTGGTATAATATCGAACACTGGTTGCGACAAAAGACAAGATGCTTCTGACTAGGGAAAAAAGTGATCTAATTATGACATCATAATCTAAAAAAGAAATAAACAAAAGCTTACGGCACCTGAGGTTCCTAGTTTGTCTCCCATACAAGTACTAAGCAGGCCCAAGTCTGCATGACTCCTGAGATCTGACGAGATCAGGCACTTTCAGACTGGTATGGCCGTAGGTAAAATTAGCACAAAGTGATATCGCTGATGTTGGTATAATATCAAACACTGGTTGCGACAAAAGACAAGACGCTTCTGACTAGGGAAAAAGTGATCTGATTATGACATCATAATCTAAAAAAGAAATAAACAAAAGCTTATGGCACCTGAGATTCCTAGTTGGTCTCCCATACAAGTACTAATCAGGCCCAAGTCTGCATGACTTCTGAGATCTGACAAGATCAGGCACTTTCAGACTGGTATGGCCATAGGCGAAATTAGTAGAAAGTGATCTCGCTGATGTTGGTATAATATCAAACACTGGTTGCGACAAAAGACAAAACGCTTCTGACTAGGAAAAAAAGTGATCTGATTATGACATCATAATCTAAGAAATAAATAAACAAAAGCTTACGACACCTGAGGTTCCTAGTTGGTCTCCCATACAAGTACTAAACAGGTCCAAGTCTGCATGACTTCTGAGATCTGACGAGATTGTTACGGGCAAATGCAAATATTACAAGTTTTAGAATGAAATGTTGTATTTCTTAAACTGTGTACTTTGTCTTTAAGAGATATTGCAAACTGACAAGGTGTAAGAAATGGAACATATTGTTTTTCATAGATGTTTCTTTAAGCAATAATATGTTTGCGCCATTTTGTCCCAGACGAATTACAATAACAATAATGCATAAACAAGCTTCAAGGCTATTCTACGACACTTGCAGTACACAATATACTGTGGTAATCCCAAGTTAATGGAACTTCCCCAAATCCTGGAATCTCCCACGACTGTACACTTACGACTTAGTATAAACAACAGATAACCTATTCAGACTTTAAGATGCCATCTTGAACTAAGTCAGGAAAATTTCCATGACGTATACACCCTTTAGTTATGGCCTTGTATGTTTGCCAAATTAAGGGAGGACCTAAATTGAATAAAGTAAAAGAAGTGTTACTTTTCCATATTTGAACTACAGTAACCTAAAATGGAGACACCTAAGGTATAAATAGGTGTACTTTTAAATGTTAAGACTCAGAGGAGAGACTTGGAGACAGACGCTGCTCCATCTTAAAATGACAGAGAGGCTGACATGATGACATGTTCAGAAGGGTATGTTAACCTAATAATGATATTTGCAAGCATGTAATTTAATCTTATAAACTCTGCTATAATGGATTTTATATTTTTATATAATAAATATCCAAAAAGACAATCTTGCTTCCAAGACAATCCTTATTTTATATTGTATTCTCAATTATTTATATATGTTAAATATAGGATCTCTTACACTATATAAAATTATGGCTAAGATATCTGTATGGTTAGCCCTACTAAGTTCTATGCTTTAAGACATTATAGTGGTAAATAAGGGAACCACCAGCGGTTACAATTGGCGACCACAAAGGGACTTTGTACTTGGAAGCTTTAAATATAAAATAAATACCTAGGTAACCTCTTATACGTAAGAGAAGACACAATACTTTGTCATGGCACAAGTCTTGAAATATCAAGAATCTATTGAGCTATTTGTAGCCCAGACTCAGAGAGAGATCATTAGAGATGATTTTAATGTGAACAAGGCACTGTGAGTTCAGGTGCCAGGTACAACGTAATTAGCATACAATGCTGAAATTGTGGATCTTAATTAATATCATAAGAAAATAAATATACATATTTGGTAAACTCCCTGATATGCCTAATACACCAGCACAGCATGGCCCATTAGTTCCAGGACAGTGGATTGCAGACAGGGGGATATGTTCTCTTTGTAGCTGCTTAGTATGCATGCGCAGGAAAAAGATTAATGCAAAATGTTGTCAAAAGAAAAGTTATAAGACAGAGCGATGAAATTGTCAGTTACGCTAGCTGTTGATTAAAAATCAGGAATTATAACAGCATAACTATTTTTTCAGTCTGGAATTTCCAGCCAAGGTTGCGGAGATACAGAGACATGTAAACATTCCAAGGAATTGAGAAGTCGTTGTTTTATATTCCAAATTATGAACAACATTATTACATACAGCCATAGAGAGAAAGACATGGCTTTTAAATACATTCAGTGCAGTACAATGCAGTACACTGCAGCATATATTTTATATAATATATGATAACTAGCTCATATTTTTTCCTAAACAGAGTTGAAATTATACTACCCTCCTAGAAAAAAGGGCAACAGGTGGTGATACATCCTTTGCTTCTCTAAATGCTCTGCAAAAATAAATATTTATAAAATGATTAAAAATAAGATAAATCAGGGCAAAATTAAATTGTAACTATATAGGATCTCTAATAACTTTTAAACTTAAATTATTAAAGGCTTATTTAAATAAAAATGTTAAATACATTTACAGCTTTAAATGTGACCAAAAGATATTAAATGATGTGTTAAGCAGCCAGCCCAATTCACTAGAATAGCATAAGTATTCTACTATTTAAAGTGCACAATTCCTGCACATAATGACTTTGCTTACTCAGGTACAGTCTTTAGTCTATTGCAATGGCAGTAAAGTCCACCAATTTTAAAAGGGAAAGCTTACTTAAATCAGTGGTACTATCCCACCGTACTAGCAGTAAAGAAATTAGAACAATTATATTGTACTACTGACTGTAATCAGATCAGACACATGTAATCTCAGTGAATTTCATAAACTAGGTTTTCATAAAATAAGATTAAATATCAAAGTTGTTTATATATAAATATATCAATGTTGTTTATAAATAAAAGTATATAGACTAGGCAATAACAGCATTTACATGCATTCAGCAGCCTGCTCTCTCAATGCCAGAAACAGATTTATAAAAAAATAAAAAGTAGGTTTTAAAAAGTCCACAGTCAACCACACATGAAGGGTGAAATAATTATGTATATAAATACTGATTAGGGCACAGAGTAGAAATAAACATACAGTTTCAAATCTCATATATGGGGATTCAGTTCCACCGCATATTCTACAATTCTGAAAGAGGCTAATTTTAATAATATGTTGTAATAGCATTGTGAATATATATAATGCAAAATTAATTTGATATTGCAAAGCCTGCAATATTCTAAACAGACCTTAAAATTAAAGAAAACAAGAAAAATAATAATGCATAAAGAATAATGCATAAAAAAAATGCAGTGTCAATTAAAGTGATAATACTCTGATATATTAAATCACATTGCATATCACATATCTGCTATATGAAAAGTATAATTAAAGTGACATTATTAAGGTATAATTAAGGTCCAATGCCCCCTCACATCTATTTTATAGAATCTATACTTTTCAGTGGTCACCTCCAAAGAAGCCTCGGAAACTGGGGGTCTCAGAGGGGTGCTCATCCCAAAAGGAATCAGATTCCAGACTTACGTTTTTTTATATTTTATGCCTTAAAGACATATAAAGGATATTTAATAAAATATGCAGGTATCTTTAAAAATTAAGCAAAGTTAAAAAATAAATAATAATAATAATAAAAATATATTTTACACCACAATATAAACAGCTTTGTTAAACAGATTTAAGTACAAGTACTTATGACAAGAAATATACAGAATACGTTTACAACAGGCAGGTTTAGCATAAATGCAAAGTTGTTGTTTTGGGGGATTTATTATTGCCCAAGAAATCTCCGAACATATTCAGAATTTTTACGAGCAGCAAGAATAGATAGCAGATTGCAATGGACACCATTACAATATTGCTTTGCCGATTGATGTCAGAGCTTTAAAGAATAAATAAATAAATGTTCTATAGCTCACTAGGCCACTGGCTTTTAATGAACAGTTTGCCCAACACTTATAAAATAGTTTGTTATACTGCACATTATAGCTGTGACAACATGATATACATGGTAACAATGCTATTTCACTGTTTAATAGACTTACCCAGTATTTAAGGACGACATGTTTCTTGCAAAGTCATCGGGACTTTGAGGGAGGTTCTAACTACGTTTAATTAATTAACTTACTAAAGAAAAAGAAAAAAGAAGAGGTTTTGTTTTTCCCCTGCAAGTGAGTTTTCAGCGCAAGGTCAATTTGTGTTCACAGACTATTCGGATTTTAAAAAAGCTGTTCTTTATCTCACGTTATGAACGGCCTTGTAATTCCTATCCACACTAAAAGTTGGATTTTAAATGTTATTGTTTTAACTTTAATAGTTAATACAGAGAATAAAGTAATTTAAAGAAAATATATTGAAAGTATATTAATTGATAGGATTTCATTTATCTATTTTGGTCCACTGTTCACTGATCTCGAATCTCAGTCTGGTATTCAAACAGTTTTTCTTACGATACGTCGTGAGTTTATATCCACAACTGCATTTTGCTTTGTGGAAACAAATTGAAAGCCTGGCATTGTAATATGTGTATGGACATGCTTATAACAAAGCATGGACCCTCTCCTCATGTAGTTGGTCATTAACAGGCACTTTGATGCAATGTGTCTACCAACGCTTTTCTGTGGTCATTGGATCACATCGCATACCCTATCTCTCAGTCATGATGCAGAGTTTATGCTTGCAAGGATATCCAGACCTTATCCACCTGGTATCCGTATAAATACTCCTATCGTTTACAGGGGTTAATTACATAATAACCATTGAAGGTAATATGTTGGTTGTTCTTCCTATAGAGGAAAGATAGACTTGCCCAAAAAGCTTTTTTATGGCTAGGACAAGCTCTTATAGAGAGGTAATGTACTTGTGACTCCTGAAAAGGAATATTGGTGGTCCAATATGGGAAATACTGTAATTCACGTGTTTAGTAATCATAAGCATTTGCTTATTGCCACATTACTGATGTACTGTTTATTGAAATATTAATACCTAACGTACTTTTTGAATTACTATATATTGGAAGTTTGCCAACATCTCATGGTTATAAATATGTTTTTGTATGTGTTGTTGCATGTACCAGGTTTACTTGGATATATCCTGTGCGAAGTGCAACCTCTGATGCCACGTTTTCTAGTCTCACTTCCTTAGTATGCATTTGGTAATCCCAGGACCATCCATTTGGATGGTGGTCCTGCAGTTACTGCAAAGGAAACCTAAAACTGGGCAACCACATTTGGGTTACTTTGGGATTTCAGTGCCCCAACCACCCCCAAAGACGTGGGGTTGTGGTCTGGGAAAATGCTGAGGTTAAATGATTATTAACCAAGTTACTAGCTGCTTGCCCCACACAGTGGTATCTATTTATTCCTATGGTACAAATGAGCATTCACAACATACCTGATGATACAAATGGTGAGACACCATATGAAATGTTACATGTTTTTCACTGACAAACATATTTCTGCACCAGGGAGAGCTTAGAACCATTGGTTCTATTAGAGAAATTTAGGGAATTTTTTTTTCCAGCCCACCTCGCCTTGCACCACCACCTATTTCCTTCTGTTGGCCAGCTTGTCCTGGAGAGGGTGACTCGGATAACTTTTACTACAGAGAACAATCAGAGCCAACAGAGAACAGTGAATTTGATATTTTACAACCTGCTAAATACTAACAGGACGTTCACAGAACCACTGACTGATACAATGGATGCTGTTAAAGATGGCAAGATAAAACAAACAGAGGACGACAGAAATGCCACCAGAATCATAGCCACGTAACAGACTGAATCATGATCTGACATCTGAACCTGCAAATGTGAAGGAGAAGGATGAACAGACAGACGTGATACATTCACAGTTAACATGGAATGTATGAAAAATGAATCATCAACATCATTATAAGAAAGACTCTGGAGGAAACAGACTGAACCTGAATTATCTTATACAGTAAGAAAGAAATGCAAAGATGGAAGCAAAAGGATGCTAGAAAATTGGTTATGGTGTCTCCTTCTTACAATCTGCAGCATTATCACAACATCAACCCTAGCTGTCGTTTTAAAACTGCATTGGGATTATGTTAACAAGCAGGACTATATAACACACTATACAAGTTCTTTGATCGTGAGGACTACCTCCAAGAACTATCTCAAAAGGAGAGACATAGCGCACATTGAAATGATTGCCTACACTGGTATTTCACAAGGAACCTATTGAGATCATTCCAAAAAAAAGATTATACACGAGAAAGATGTGATTGAACTATTTCAAATCCTAATAATGGACTCAGCGATGATGGCAAAGCATGCTGAAAACAGAAAGACGAGACAGATGCTTGTGAAAGACTTTGGATGCACCTATGAAGGTGATTAAGAAAAGACTTTGCCGTATAGTTTATCACTGAATGACTACCGCAAACAGCCTTCTTATGCTGAAAAGAAGTGCTATGCTAATTCTGGACATTGCTATTATGTTTCCAGACAGAAGATGACCGGAAAAAGAAATAAAGACTGATAACTGTCAACACCGAGCTGTTTCTCAAGATGGAGCCTGATTGACTATCAAAGCACCTCACAGTACAAGACACAGATTGTTAACTACAACTCAGAAAAAGTGGTTAATAGGAAGGAGCAGAAGAAGAGGAACATAGCTTTCCTACTGGAGAGAAAAACCATCCTGGAACAATATTCTGCAACAATGAACTTTACAATGACATTTGGTGGCATATGAATTTGAATTTGGTAGAAACACATCAATTAACGAAAGAAACCTTGATGCAATTAATAAATAATAACAATACCGGCCTACTAAGAGCAGATGCCCTGCAAAGAGAATGAAATATAAAAAGACCAGCAAAATCTTTCAGAAACCTGACATCGCGGGACACTTGTACTAAAGCACGATTTGCAGCTTTTCTAAAACTCTACATATTATGTACACACCTGCAAAGCAAGGAACTCCTGTAAACATAAACACAGAGACATTGATACAACAAGGAATATGTAATGGTTCTGTTGCAGATGTGATCTACCAATGTACTCCTTGCTCTTTTGGCATAACTATACCAATCAAAACGTTAAATGGCTCCATAGAATCAAACGACAAAGCATTCTTGCTATATTCTGGACTTTCAGGAATGTGGTGCATGGACCGAAAATTGTAATTACTAAAGCAATCATGCTATTTTTTTCCCTGTATCAGAAATGTGTCAGTGACAATGTGTAATATAATACAGATACTATAATTAATGGTATAAGAAACACATAATGTGTTAATTACAAAAGTGGATAGATTTTGTGAATATCTGAAACGCAATTGAAGATTATTGCTAAAATGCCATATGCAGCTGCAGTCTGGCCTACAAACAAATATATTAAACATACGTAGAAGAGTATAACAGCTAATTACCGATGAATAATTGAATCATGATAGTTAAAGATCATATGATTGCAATAACAACTGCACTAATGAATAATGTTTTAAACTTAGGAAGAAAATATAAAATGTTTTTATTAAATCAGAAACTACTCAATATTTGTTTAAGTTTGCAGAGTGGTATAATTAATATAAGTGAAATACTTCAACAGTTAAAATTTAACTGAAAGACAGGCAGAAACTTTACTTCAACTATCATAAAGTTTATTTATAATGATAAAAATATTCATACATTCAATATTGTATCGGAGTGCTTTCTTAACTCACTTTTAGAAATAATAATACATTCTAATCATCTTAAGCTACATCCAACAGCCACTGAAAAATATACTTAAACAATTAAGATTCACATTGTTAAGCATCCAATCTCACGAATGTAACTTTCCATGTAGGTACGTAGTGGGGAATCGCGATGCAGTCTAGAACAAATCTAGCCCCATTAAACCCCCCAATAACGACAAACAACTTAGTATGGATGAACAGGCCACAGCATTTATTATAACATCAATAAATAACTGCATAACACATCCATAACTTTTTATTAAATCTCTTCTTTCTGTAACGAAATAAATAATCATAAATTAACATATAACATATTACTCAACACAGTGTTATGCAGTGACCCAACCGTCCTTGCCAATAAACATACAGTGGTTCCTAAACACCACTTCCTCTCACCTCCCCCCTCGTCATAAATCATCTCTTTCCAATGCCCGCCATCAGCCGACCTTATCCACGCTCGATGGGCACGACACCTCAGGCAACCTAATGTTAACCGTTTGAAGCAGGGGAGGTTGAGACCTGCAAACATAATGAACTTACTCCATCCTTAAACATAACCCTTCAAACTTAATTGGCAAGGACATACCCCCGCCTCGCTGTGACTAACTAATCCTACAAGGGGTGGGTGGGCGGGAAGCTGTTTGCTGGCCCGAATCCCAAGTGGCACTGAGGTAAGACCTCCCCCACGCTAACTTATATTGAGCCTAACCCCTCCCACACACATTACCCAAGTCACTCCCTTGCATCTATCCCCACACTCCTACATGTGCCCTTGTCCGCTTAGCTGCGCTATCTCCCCAGGGTCTTGTAGGTACGTAGTGGGGAATCGCGATGCAGTCTAGAACAAATCTAGCCCCATTAAACCCCCCCAATAACGACAAACAACTTAGTATGGATGAACAGGCCACAGCATTTATTATAACATCAATAAATAACTGCATAACACATCCATAACTTTTTATTAAATCTCTTCTTTCTGTAACGAAATAAATAATCATAAATTAACATATAAACATATTACTCAACACAGTGTTATGCAGTGACCCAACCGTCCTTGCCAATAAACATACAGTGGTTCCTAACCACCACTTCCTCTCACCTCCCCCCTCGTCATAAATCATCTCTTTCCAATGCCCGCCATCAGCCGACCTTATCCACGCTCGATGGGCACGACACCTCAGGCAACCTAATGTTAACCGTTTGAAGCAGGGGAGGTTGAGACCTGCAAACATAATGAACTTACTCCATCCTTAAACATAACCCTTCAAACTTAATTGGCAAGGACATACCCCCGCCACCAGACCCGTTGATTTACCCCTAAATCAGCGGGGAACCCCACCAAAACCCTCCATGGCCTGTTCCACCGCCTCCTGTAGGGCGAGATTAAAAAGGTCGAGCCCGACCTCCGTCAGGTGCACACCATCCCTTCGAAAAAATGCGGCCGCCTCACGCTCAAAAACCCTATGGCGGATAGGAATCCCCCGAACCCCCAAAACAAATTGGGAAACCCGCCTGTTAAACTTGCGCCTGCACCGTTCCACGGCACTCTGGCTCCTAGCGCCACGCCAATAGTTCCGTGCAATGACTTCTGACCAGACCAAGCGCACGTTGGGGAATAGGACTAGAATGCGGGCTAAGTCCCGCTTCACCACCGAAATTAAATCCCAGATGGGCACTGAACCCAAATCGTTCCCCCCTAAGTGGATCACCAGGACACTCGGCACCCCTAGTAGGTGAGAAAGCTGCACCAACTCAGGGAGGAGCCGAACCCACCGCATACCCCTCGCACCGAACCATCGAACCTCTGCTACGGAAGGCGTGAAACCCAACCGCTCGCCTCCAGGCCGTACCGCTGCACGCTGCCCAGCCCAGTAAACATAAGAGTGCCCGATGATCCAAATCCTGGGGGGAACCGAAACTGTGGAAAGAAATTACGACAGTAAACCCTCCGGCCGAACATAGGAAACATAACGTCTTGATTCCCACCTACCAATCCTCTGAACCACCTGCGCAGGCATGCCAAGCCTAGAGGCCTCAGTAGCCGCCCCAATACGGAACGAGTAGCCCCCGAACTCCTTGCCAACCAAACCCATGGCCTCCAGCCCCAAACGAAACACTCGAATAAACTGAAAATGCGACAGGAAACTCCCATCCCTATGTACCAGGAGAGGCAGTGCCGTAGCAGGCCGCAAGGCGCAATATTCCCCAAAGGACCACACAGGACAAATGCCAGAACCAGGCACGGCCCCCAACCGGACCCACTTACCCCTACCCAAAACATCCGTCTTAGAGCGGCGGATCCTGAACGAGATCCCATCCGCGGTGCACGTAACGTCCTCAAACAGCACACCCCCTACCCGCTGCCGATTGGGGCACACCAGCTCCCCAATCCGCATGGCACCAAAGAATGCCAGGGAAAAGGCCAGGCGAAAAAGCCGAACCTCGAAATCCGAATGGCAAACCCCGTGCAGTGCCTCACACAACGAGGTTAAGAGCGTGCCCGAGACAGGACGCCTCGAATCCCGTGTAGACACCCTACCCCGCCTCAAACCCTTCAGCACCTGGCGTACAAGAAACGCCTTGGTAGCATCCTCCCAACCCTGCAGCTTAAACAGGAAGCTAAGCCCTGCCAGGCGCCGAAATGGCCGAGGGAGACAGCCCAATGGCCTCCCACTCCCCCAAGAGAAGCACCAGTCCCTGCAGACGAGTGGCCGAATCCTGGAATCCCCCTTTGGACCTCTCCCACCCGTCCCATTCCCTCCAAACCTTGTTATAGCGGTCCCATGTGGCAGCAGCAACCGACCTACGGACCAATTCCATTAATCTGTCAGGCCCAATGACCACATCTCTGTCGGACACGGGACACCTTCCAATTCGGCTTGCGGGGCCACTGCCCGAAACACGTCCCACTGTGAACGAGAGAGAGCATCGGCCATCACATTACGAACACCCGGTATGTGTACAGCCCTACAATACACATTCAGCTCCAGACAGCGCAAAACTAGGCGCCGCAGCAAGCGAACCACGGGGGGGGAGGAAGCCGACTGTTGGTTAATGGCTTGAACCACCCCCAAGTTATCGCAATGGAAAACCACCCGTCTGTCCCCTAGCAAGGAACCCCATACCTCCAACGCTACCAGAATAGGAAAGAGCTC